CTCATCCCAGGTCGGTTCTGCTCTGACCGGGACTGGCACTGCACTGGTTGAAGCTCCCGTCGTGTGATCGAGCTTGGTCAGCTCGGGGGTTGCTGTACTGAATGTGCATTCTGCTACAAAATCAACCAAGACTTGGGCTTTGATTGCTAGCCGAGGCTCATACCGAATATCGCATTCGCTCAGTTCGATGGACCACTTCGTCAATCTCCCAAACACCTCGGGTTTGAGCAGAATCTACCTCAGGGGTTTGTTGGTGAGAACACCGATACTGTGGGCCTGGAAGTACGGGCAAAGCTTTCGGGTTGCTATGATTAGTGCGTATGCTAAATTTTTGATCTCCAGATACCTGGTTTCTGCATCCTGCAAAATTTTGCTAACATAGTAGATGGGTCATTGGACCCGATCTACTTCTTTGATCATACTGAACTAACCACCTCGTCGCTCGCAGAGAGGTATAGCTTTAAAACATCCCCTTCTTCGGGTCAGGTTAAAACTGGGGTGGTAACTAAGTATCTTTTTAGCTCGTCAAAGGCGAGCTGGCATTCTTCAGTCCATTCGAAGTCCTTACTCTTTTTTATCGCTTTAAAAAAGGGTAGGCACCGATCTGTCGACTTGGAAATGAAGCGGCTCAAGGCGGCTATCCGACCATTCAGCCTCTGAACCTCTTTTATTTTCCGGGGTGGTCTCATATCTAGAATGGCTTTTATTTAATCTAGGTTGGCTTCGATGCCACGTTGGTTGACTATATACCCTAGAAATTTACCCGTAGTGACTCCGAAGACGCACATATTTGGATTAAGCTTCATGTTATGTCTTCATAAAATTTGAAAAACATTCTTTAAAACATTCAACAAAGAGTTCGAAAACTGGGTCTTCACGACCATGTCATCAACATAACACTCTATTTTATTGCCAATTAACGGCTCAAAAATCTTATTTACAAGGCGCTGGAAGGTTGCCCTAGCATTTTTTAATTCGAAGGACATGACCTTGTAACAGTATAACCTGAGCTCAGTTATGAAGACGATCTTCTCTTCGTCAGTAGGATCCATCCTAATCTGGTTGTAACTAGAATACGTGTTCAGGAAGCTCAACAACTCATGCCCTGAGGTCGCGTCCACTAGGCAGTCGATCTTGGGTAGCGGGAAGCAATCTTTCGGGCAAACTCTATTCAGGTCGGTGTAATCGACGCACATGCGCCACTTGCCATTGGCTTTTTTTCACCAGAACCGGGTTTGCCACCCAACTCGGGTAATGGACTTCCCTGATGAAGTCTGCCGTGAGGAGCTTCCCAACCTCTTCATCGACTACCTTCCAACATTCTGGGGCGACTAAAGGGTCGGTATTCAGTTTGTGAGTTATAATTTTTTAATCAATTCTGGGCATTTCTATCGCGGACCAAGCAAAAACATCTAAGTTCTCAAGTAAGAAACTTACTAGCTGGGAGCGAAGTGGTTCGTTGACCGAGGCACCGATCTGGAGAGTCTTGGCTGGTTCATCAACATAGACCAGTATGTGGACCGTCTCCTCTGTCGGGGTAGCTCGCTCGCAGTATACTCCGCTGGTCGCTCGAGCTCGACATCCTCTGCTAGCTTTGCTTTCCCTTTTAGAACAGCCACGTAGCACTTGTGCGATTCGAGCTGGTCACCTCGCATGACTCCCACTCCATAATCAGTTGGGAACTTCATCACCAAATAGTAAGTGGATACTATTGCATGTAAAACATGTGCGATGGGCCGACCTACTATGGCGTTGTAGGGAGAGAGAGTAGCTAAACCTCGCATGACTTCCACGGGTAATGTGACTCGACCAAGAGGTCTGACCTCCTCGCCGCTAAACCTACCAAAGGAGTATCTGCCGGTCTCAGGTCGCTCTGCTGTAACTATAATTTATCGAAGGTCCCCTTGAAGAGTATATTTGTCAAACTACCTGAGTCTACCAAGATGCGCTTTACCTCGAAGTCATTAATTCGTAGCTTCACCACTAGGGCATCGTCATGAGGGTACTAGATTTCGCGTGCATCGTCCTCAGTGAAGTATATCGATTCTTCGAGCCAAGGTCACTTTGGTAGGTTTTCCTCTTCGTTCTCTAACTCGCGGTAATCATGTTGATTACCCCGCGGGTCGGTCTTTCCTCTGGCAACTGTTGTGGTGGTTGCTCATTCTGCCTGTTGGCCTTGGGGGCATTCCTCCTCTGGTCCCCCTGTCGATCTGCCTATCAATCTGTTTGTCCCCTCTCTTCTTGCAAGATGAAGTTCTTCAAGTACCCGCGTCGAATAAGTTCCTCGATCTCGTCGCGGAGATTCCTGCAGTTCTTTGTGTTGTGTCCGTGATCTCAATGAAAATGGCAGTAAATGTTTGGGTTTCTTGTTGCTGGGTCTCCCCTTAGCCTAGGAAGCCATTTGACGAAGGAGGAGTCCTTAATAGCCATTAGGATCTCTCATCTCTTAACGTTCAAAGGTGTGTAGCTCGTTCTCTCCATAGGTGGGGTTCTGGAGCGCCGACCTAATTTGCGAGTTCACGAGGGGGACCGACTTCTGGAGTTATTTCTTCCCCTGCTCGGGGACTTGCTTTTCTTCCTCTTTTGTCCACCATTGCTCGTTCCTTCATTCTCTCTCTTCCTCTTTTTCGGCAGTGGGTTGTCGATCTTCTGATTGATCTCCTCCTCGGTACTGAACTGATCTGCTAACTTAAGGAATTCGGTGATGTCCTTTGGTTTGTTAGCTACCACATGCCACTTAAACTCCTTGTGGGTGATTCCTTTCTTTGCCGCAGTGAGTCGTATTGCCGGGTCGAGGTCCAGTATCTGCAGGCAAGTATCATTGAAGCGCTTGATATAACTTTTGATCGACTCTCCTTCCCTCTAAACCATGTTTAGTAGGCTTTCCTATGACTTCAGACACTTCTTGCTAGTAATGAAGTGCGTAGTGATCGACTCTCCAGCGTGAGATTTCGGTAGCAAGTTCGAACTACCCCCTTGAACGTAGTAGAGAAGGCCACACGCATGCAGGACTCATCAGCCCCAGCTAGGTGCATCTGAGACTGGAAAGAATCCACATGGTCATTGGGGTCAAACGACCCATCATACTTGTCTAATGGGGGCATCTTAAAGTCTTTTGGCATTGGAGTTGCCAAGAGCTCGAGCGACAGAGGGGATGACTAGCAAAGTAGTGGAGGCGTGGTCTTTGTAGCCACCGAGCTCGCTTCTTCCTTTCCTTTGGTTTGCTCTTCTCGTTGGTTTGGCTTCGCTGGCAGGCTGTTCCTGGCCGAGAGGTGGCGTGTTTTGCAACGTCGCCACTACTGCTTCTTTATTGGCTCGCGAGGTAGATCCTGGTTCCTTGTTGGATTCTGTAGGTTATGGGGCTCGAATTGGCTATCACGAGGGACGGAGAGGCCTTGTCTCAAGTTCGCACCTCGAACCCCAAACTGGTTATCTGCTCATGAGCCGTTGTTTTCTTGTTGTGAGTACCGAGGCGGATTGGGCTGACTATCCCTAGACCTGTTTCTGAGATTTCCTTGCGAGACTGGAGGAGTGTGCTGACCGTCTCTCCTCCCACAGGGCGAGACCTGACTCTTGAGAGGAATCGGTACTTGTGAGGTCTCTTCACTCTGATGGGGAGATCGGTTGATGTTCTGGTTAGTTCCAAGTCGATTTGGGTTCTGACCCTGATGGGGCCCTGGGTGCCGAGGTGGAACCGGCTGCTGGTTTGGCTGTAGTGGAGGGAACTGGTGTTGATACTGTTGGTAGAAATAGTATTGTTGGTACTGTTGGAACTGTTGGACCTGTTGCATCTAGATCTGAATAGCCCGAACGCACTGAACGAGGTCTTGAAATTAGGAATGCCCGATTCCGGGGGAACCACGGATGGCTTAGAGAAAGTTTCGCCTACCACTGGTGGAAGTGGGACGCTTACTTGTGTGGTGCTCGGTGGTGCGGACAATGATGAGACTCCGGACGCTGTGAGCGGAATAGTGAATTGATCGATACACACCGTAGGAGTTTGGGGGAAGGTTGATTGCTGAGCTTGCCCCCGGTGACGTTCATCTCGACACTTTTCCCGGTGTGGTTGGAGGATGCCATTGAGGTTGAGATTAAGTTTGAAGCTATAGAGAGATAGGGATGACCTTTCGATCGATTCCCACAGACGACGCCAATTGATGGTGTGCGATCTAGCTACTCCTAGTTGGAGGGTGATCCGAACTCCAAATGGGCGATGAGTTGGATCGATTTGCAAAACAATGTATCAGAGAACCCGGGGTAGCTAACCCGGCGAGGTCGCTTCGATGCTTAAGTCAGTACTTATGTTGTGAATGAAAGCTAAATGGTTGAGAGCTTGAGTGCTGGTGAGTAGAATAATCACGCGTACATTTGCCTTGAGGTTTCAAGTCTTTATATACTAGAGTAGTCGTGGGCCTTACGGAAGATCTCCGGGATCTCCGGGCTGTGGAGATAAGGTTGGTTCCGTTTTTGAAGGAGAGCAGTACGTCGATAAGGTTTATCGTCTACCTCCGATTCAGGCGGAACCAGGATGAGTTCTTATTGTGATCTCGGGAAATTCGGGATCTATTGGCTCATCGTGACCTCAAGAGATTCGGGATCTATTGGGAAGGCCTTTGGAGTCGGTTATGCGGTGCTTCGGCTCATTAGCTCGGAGCTGGAACTTCGATTCTTTAATCCCAAACTAGATTAAGTGTCGAGGTACCTCTACACTGAGGCGGATTTTGGGCCTAAGTGGCTGAATGCCCGAACTATGAATATTACGAACGGGACTTGCCTGACTGTATTGTCATCCTTCGATCAGATCACGCCTACATATCCCCTTCTTGCTAGGTCGTACCCACCCACAATCTAATCACACTTGTACGGCTTCACATTGAAAACATCTTCCGATATGGACAAGCGGAAAACGTCTTATTGATTGGTCGAAATTCTTCCTATACCGTATCTTTTCCCGAGGAGGAAAGATGTTTCGTGGAGATAGAGAGAAATCAATACCAAGACAGTTGACTGACGGATGCTTTCTTGCCGTAATCACCTAAAACTTAGCGAGAGGGCGGAAAGAGCGGTTCCATCCACGAAGCGAGGGAGAAGCTGCAGCAGCAATCACCCTCGCTTCGCGACGGACGACAGAGAGATACATCTGTCCAACTTCAACACAACTCAGTCAGTTGGGAAATCAATAAAGTCATCGCTGCCGCTTCTCCCCCTACAACACATAAAATAAGTCGTAGGAACAACGAACAATGAAGTGATAACCAATAAAAAGCATTAATAACAAGCAAAAAAGAAGAAAATAATAAGCCCGACAAGCAAAAAAGAAGAGATAAATACATAGCCCATGTCATGTATGTGTATGTCTGCCTCAACGTAGAATTCGGACATGCAAAACAACCACCCCAACTCCAAGAGGAGCGTCTGATCATCTTCGTTACAGAGTTTGATGCCTCTCTTTTCAATCGCACACACACAAGGTATCGTCTCCCTCATATGGGTTCCAGTGGTTTTAACGTTTTGACCCCATTACTTCACATATGGGTTCGAGTGGTTTTAACGTTTTAGTGTTATAATGTTAGTTGCTCTGAATCGTCTTCTCTCTCTCTCTCTCTCTGGTTGCAGGTGTGACTGAGAATTGTTCTTGTTTCTCTGGGGGTTTTCTTTATTCTGTTCCTTCTCATTTTAGACGATATTATTGAACCCGATTCACGTTTATAATTACTGAACTTGGGCAAACTTGCATAAAGGTTTGTTCCCATTACTTCGCATTAAAGGTTTCAATGTTACAATGTTAGTTGGTCTAACCGTCCTCTCTCTCTCTCTCTCTCTCTCTCTCTCTCTTTTAATATTTTTATTGGCTGCAGGTGTGACTGAGAATTGTTATTGTTTCTGGGGATTTTTGTTTGCTCTGTTCCTTCGCATTTTGACAATATTCTTGAACTCGGTTGACGTTTATAGTTACTGGACTTAGTTAAACTTGCAATGTCCTCTTTTCTTTGTTCACTGGAAGATCAATCATTATTTCTTTATCGTGTTCATTGATCTTGCCTTTTGGATCTGATATTTGACTTGCATTCATTTATTAATCTCGTTTGTCCTTTTTTTTTTCTTTCTTTTTCTTTTCTATCTAATTTCTCTGCGGGTATTATTCATTCTCAGCTCAGACCTGTGTATTTTCTTCTCTGTTTTCCGTTTATCTTGGCTCTTGGATCCCACAGAGGTTATAGGGGTTGCAACTCATGTTCTCGTGTTGTGTCAATGTAGGGGCATTCTATGTCAACATGAACACGATACAGCCCGTGTAATCTAAATTAACACAACTAACTTGTTTAATTCTATACTAAATGACACGTATAACCCAAATGAACACGAAATCAACAAGCTTAATGCTTAACCTATTTAAATTAAACAATAAATAGACTTAAATAGTAAACATTCAATCATCCATTATCTAAACAAATTCATACAATCCATTCAATATCATTCTTACTTACCATAAAGTGTTTAATCCAAATATACATATATGATCTAATACTAGAAACTTAGGGTCATAAACGGGTCATTTTTGAGTTAAGTGGTTCGGCCTGAAATTGTCACATTTATTAATCGTGTTAAACAGGTCGAAGGATTTTGACATGAACACAATTAAAGTAAATCCAAACCCACTAACTTCATATTGTGTTCACATGTTGTGTCAAATATTGGTAGCCCTAACTCACTATTAGTCAATTACATTTATGCTTCTAGTGATGGAGATATAACTAGAGGGACCACCCATTTGCTCTGTCATTCTACACTATCATCTTGGTTGCAGTAATTTCAGTGGGTTGACTTTCACTTTGTTCTTTATCTTTGATTGATGGCTAATCAATTTAGCCTTGTTAAAGTTTGTTCTTTTCTCTTTGAAGCGATCTGAATCTCTAGGGATACATGTGGTCATTTATTGGAGATATAATTGCTTTCTTGTAGATATTTTCCTTTTGATTTTAGAAAATTCCAATGCTTGTTCCTGCAGTGATGCTCATGATTAGGAATAAGTTACTCACAGCTGTTTCATAGAAGGTGGATGGATAACAAGGGAAACATGGATAGAGTTCACTCATATATGAGTTTATTTTCTACTTATGTTCGATTTAGGAGGTGTTCTACAATTACAATGTGAATTGTTTTTATTGTTGTTGGTTCTAAAAACAAATCAAAATCATTTAGTTTAAAAACAGATTGTTTCTTAAAACAAAAACACACAAAATATATTCTTGGTTGTGTATGTGTTTTTTGTTTTCAAAACTAAAACCGAAAACATGTTTTTGAATTTTGGTTTCAAGGACATGTTTTCATCAGGTTATTCATATCATGTTCCATAAATCATATGGTAATTCTACACTACAAATTTTGTTATTGTTTTAAAAACCATCATTTTGATGGTTTCAAAAATATGTATTGTTTTTTGAAACAAAACCAACTTATTTTTGCCTTTAAAAACAAAAACAGAGTTCAAGAACATGTTTTTGTTTTTTTGCTGATGTGGCAATTTCAGAAACAAATGAAAACAAAAATATTCATGTTGTAGAATGCCCCATTAGCAGTGCATTGCATTCATTCATATGGCACAAATTGAGATAACCACTAGCCACATTTCTAGCACTTGGATTCCTAGCTCTATCTAAAAATTTGGAACCTTTATTCCTAGAAATGAATACATGAGCTATTTCTAATAAATGGTGATTAGATTAATAGTTGTTTATTAGACCACGGAGGAGGTAGGCTTGTTTCTTTTTGGTGATGGTGTCTAATGAAAAAAATTTGATGACACAGATGACATCACTAGATGAAAGATCTGTACTTGAGTTGGAAGACAAGACCCTTGTTACCCCTGTCTCACCTGCTAGAAAGAGTCATCCTCTGGATGTAATTCAGCACGGATCATTTTCAGGTTCTCCGCAAGCTTCCAAAAACATATATATGAGGAATAGAGTGCTCAAGAATCTAAAGATTGTTCTGCTGTCAAGCAAAATCAATTTACTTTTGCCATTTGGCCCCCTTGCAATCCTTGTCAATTATCTCACAGGTCGTCATGTAAGTTTCCTCAATCTATTTTGATATATTTGTCTGTCACTTTTACCTTCATTACAGGTTGATTTATTTATTGAAATGGAATACAGGGCTGGGTTTTCTTTCTTACCTTACTGGGCATTATACCTTTGGCTGAACGTTTGGGTTATGCTACAGAGTAATTCATATAATCCTTGGGTGTGAGGTTATAACATTTGTCATTGGAATGGCTTTTGTAATTATATGACTTTACAAGTGCTTAATAGAGCTCAGCTTTTTTCTGCTGCAGGCAGCTTGCATTCTACACTGGACCTACAGGTAAGCTTCTTGGATGATTTAATGTTAGTATGTTGGTATTCAAGAATGACAGTTGACTTTTCATATTCTTCCCCATAACACAGTGCACTCTCTTGTTTATGTATCTATTTTGTTGTTGATGAGTCACTGGATCCACAGTAGAACTAGTAGTTTGCTTGATAATTTGTCATATTTTATGTGCTTTCTGCAATCACCCATAATGTTTCTGTAGTTTTATTTTTAGGGAGGTTTTCAGGGGAATGATAAGTGTTTTCAGGTACTAGGTACATATAACATAGAAGGTAATTTCTACAAACTAAAAGTTCTGAAATAACTGACAAAGTTGAGCAACAACTACCCATAAAAGAGAAGTTTCTTGGCATCTTGGCATCTGGTATATTTAAGAATAGTTCCATTGCAGTGTGTTTGAGATAGAATATAGACACCTTATAAGCAATTCATTTTAACTAAAAGAATCGAAAATGCAACATATTTACTTCAAGATGATAGGTTTGTTTCCAATGGATTACTTATCTAACTATTGGATTTCCTGAGGAGATTGGAATGAATGATCAAATGTAACTACTGAACTTATGGATTTCATCTGGAATTTTTAATATTTTAGTAATACATTACTTTGGTTCAACCATGTGGTAAGGGAATTCTGTTCATGGCCATCTTCTTTCATCAGAAAGCAGCAGGTAGGTCAAAATGGAATTATAAGATAATGACCAAACAGGGAAATCAATACACAAATTACATAGATTTTGCAACAGTAACCACACTAGCTTACAAGTATTATGGTTATTTCACTATACAACCAGTAAACCACATAAGGGCATGCGGTATCAAATGTGTAAGATCAAAGTTGTGTATTCAAGTGAGAAGTGCAGCAGACCACAAATAGGGAAGTTGTATCCCATATATCATAGCTACTTCTTTGTATGATACAAATTCCAGATGCTGATTGCTGTTGGACAATATGTCTGTAAGGTTTTCTTTAAATACCATGCTACTATAGTTTTCCCCCTTAATAGTAGAAGTGTATCTAATGCTTTCAAAGGAATTGGATACTATTATGCCCAGATACCTGTACAATGGTGCCATATTATGTTGGATACTTAAACCAAAAGTTTCATGCTTAGTAAAGGAAACCCATGTTGGATAAATAGGAGTGAAGAGAAAACATGGGAAGTAACAAAAAAACTATAGCAAATGTGCAGGAGTTTATTATTATTGCTGTTTTTTAATTGTTTCTGGTTTGTGACTCTTGAAAGGGGTTTACAATTCACATGTACTGTGCAGTTTCTTTCCTGTTTTCATCAATATCAACCACCTTCTGGTAAGAATTAGAATTCCATTGGACATTTTCTGTTCTTATAGGCAGTTCTTCTGGGAATAAATCATAGATAAACAATCTCCAATCTTAAGTTGATTTTTGTTGGAGCTTTATCATTTCACTAAACTTTTCATCTCATATTTATCAAATGATTAATATAGACTACTAACTTATTTGCCTGACACATGTAATTTATAAGCTTAGGCATTGGTGTTCATAGATATATAGCAAGCATTGGTTTACTTGGGGTCAACTACCATTCTTAACTCTCATGTATAGGGGACCCAGAACATGCTTTATCTTCTTTTCCGTGTTCGAACTAGGAAGTAAAGCTAGTGGACATTAATTCATGTTCCAATTCCTGAAATTTATCCTACTCCCTACCTTTTTATTGTTATTATATTTTGAATTGACATGGAATCCTTCATAATGTATTAAAATTGAAACTTGCAGTTGGTGGTCTTTTAAATGCTACTTTTGGTAATGCAACGGAATTGTTAATATCCATTTTTGCACTTAAAAATGGAATGGTTCGGGTTGTTCAACAATCTTTACTAGGCTCAATTCTGTCAAACATGTTGTTGGTGCTTGGCTGTGCTTTCTTAAGTGGTGGAATAGTTCACTGTAAGAAGGATCAAGTGTTTAACAAGGTAGATATATCACATCCTCTTTAGAGTTAGTTTCTCTCTCTGTTCTGTTCTTCATGTGGTGAACGATTAATGTTGGAATGGTTAATTTATATGGGCAGGCAGCTGCTACAGTGAACTCAGGGTTGCTGTTGATGGCAGTTTTGGGCCTAACATTTCCAGCTGTACTCCACTACACACACACAGAGTTGCACTTTGGAAAATCTGAATTGGCACTCTCAAGGTTTAGCAGCTGTGTTATGCTTGTAGCATATGCAGCCTTTCTTGTTTTCCAGCTGAAGAGTCACAAAAACCTATATGTCCCTGTTGATGAGGTTTGTTTCTAAATATGTTTTTGAGAAGAAAACTATGATTTTAATCTTCAAGATATATTGTGTTGTACTTACAAATGTCAGTAAGTCCAGAGCATGGCCTGGATCTGACTTGACTAAAGCAGGTCTAAACCCAAAAATAGATACTTAGATTGGATAAAGATCTGGGCGAGAGTAGTACTAGGATGGGTGACCTCTTGCGAAGTCCTCGTGTTGCACCCCAACTTTTGCAAATACCAAAAAAAGATTGGATAAAGATCTTAAAAGGGTAGATCATCTCATAGTTGATCTAAACCTGGATCTGTCCCAATCTAAGCGTCTTTTATTTTTTATTTTTATTTAATATGGATTATATGCAGTGTAACATGATGTTTTAGGCACATACATGTAAAAGGCCATTACCCAATGTTGGTCTCAGATATCTGGGGTCTTTGTGAAAATATATGGGCTCTGGAATTAACATTACATTCAAAATATGTTTTGCAAATATTTATGAAGATTCACTGTTTATGTTGGAAGATTAGTTTAAAGTGAAATCGTTGAGAGACACAGCCATACAATAAGAAATCAATTCTTATTCCTTGGCTGCTGCAAATATGGGGTCAATAAGGCACATTTTCTGGGGATCACCATTGACATTGTTAATGTATGCAGTATAAAAAGGGTTTGGTGGCATACTTATTCTTTTATCAGATAATAAAAGTTAACTGTTGCCAATCAAAATAAACATAAAGAGAAGATCAAAGAACATAGATGATTGACCCCAAAACTACATATTTAAATAAGTTTTAAACTACTAATCCTAGTTTCGCCCCGAAACCATGGGTCTGGGTGCCCTCTAGAGATCACCTGGGCTATTGGGGCCTGTAAATGGTGGACTCACTTGTTAAAAAATCCAGTTTTCTAAGGAAAGCTCCAAATTTTATATCAATTCCTTTTTCCACTTTCTGGTATGCATCAATCAATTTATGGTACATGTAGAGAACTTTGATGTGGGCCCCACAGCTGTGGTCCCACTCTGTCCATAGGGTAGAATGTATCTAGTCACAGCTGTGGTTATTTTGCTATTCTGTTATTTCTAGTTTCAGTTTTATATTGTTTGTTATTTGTTAGCAGTTATGATGTAAACACCAAGGGCAGATATGTCCTTTCATGTAACTAGCATAACCTATATATATTAACTTAAAGTGGCGGCGGCGGCAGAACATTGACATTCTGTTCTTCTCCTCAAAATCTGTGTTCTGTTGCTCTTCCATCACTCTTTCTTCTACATCTTCTTCACTTTCTCTTCTCATCGAACCTGAAATCTCTTACTGATCAAGATTGAATAGCAGTCTTGAAAACCTACAGTACATATTTGTCCTATGCAATTAGACCTAGTTTTATACATTTATCTGTTTTGTCATTTTTATCATACTTATTGTTAATGTTCTTGTTTGTATTAACTCTGTATGTTTAGCTTATTGATGGATGGATGTTTATGACACAATTGACTGAATTTAGGGTGTAATTCAGACTGAGAACTCATATGATAATGAGGATGCTGAGATCTCTAAATGGGAATCAATAATATGGCTTTCCATTTTGACAGCTTGGATTTCAGTCCTCTCAGGATACCTAGTTGATGCTATAGAGGTGTGCTTTTCTGACCTTTCTCATACCTTTATTCAAGTGATACTATGACATGTTATTTATCATTGGACTAAGGATCAACCAACCCTTGACAGAAGAAGAAGAGTGGCATTTCTTTTTTTTTTATTTTTTGTCTGATTTATATGCTGACCATCTCTAGTAGAATCTTAGAACAGGATCATACAAGGATCATGACAGATATCACTTTTTCTTTCCAAATATTTAAACCAACTCCACATAATGCCATTGGTAATCAACAATTCGAACAATCAGTTAAATAAATTACATTATATGCTATTAATAAAAGGCCATACCCATGTACTACACAGAAGAAAGAGAAGTCAAACAGAAGAAAAGCAAAATTACAAGGGGGAAGCCTGCTGCTGTACAGATTTTCTAATCTTTCTCCAATTTTAGCTAATCCATCTGCAATATGATTCAACTCCCTCGGTATCCACAGCAGTTTTGCATTTATATTTTCCAAGGAGTCTCTTGCCTCAGCCAGATAATGACTCAACCTCCAAGGACCCCCCTCCTTGTCCTTCAACCATTTGATAGTATTAGCAGAATCTCCTACAATGGATAAGTTCTGAATGCCCAATCTTTTTATTATTCTGATTCCAGTGATAGCTGCCATCACTTCAGCCTTTGTTGAATCAGCATTACCTATTGGGCCACTGAAAACCCAACAGATATTACCCAGATCATCCCTCAAAATACCCCTATCCCCGCTATACCAGGATTGCCTGCAGCACTTCCATCAATTTAAAATCATCCCTCCTTCATTATGCGATATCTGTAATCTTTGGATTGGTTGGGGGTAGGTTGGAAGAAACAAGATCGTTTGGATATTTCTGTTAAGGTCATTGAGAGAGAGTCCTTGGAACAGCTCAGAATTAACAGTCCAAAAATTGCAATAAAAGGAGATATCTGAAATTAATTCTTCAAGAGATCTGATYTTGTTGTCAAATATGYGCYTGTTTCTTTCCTCCCAAATTCCCCACAATACTGCATGTAACACAGTTTTCCAGTACACTTTACCTTTTCTGCTCAAACCCGATCCATGCCACATATTGAGAAACTCCTGAATATGCTTTGGAGAGACCCAACTGTATCCAGTCAGGTTTAAGAAATGCCACCAAATCTTTTGAGAGAAATTGCAATGAATGAATAGGTGATCAGCTGATTCACCTTCTCTTAGGCAAAGCACACAGGCATGAGGAGAAATATATGATCTTCCCATACTTTTTTTCTGAAGATCACAAGTATTTATTCTCTGTAGGCACGCTTCCCAAACAAAGAAGCAAACTCTTAGTGGAATATGACTGCTCCAGATCTTCTTGGAAGGGAAAGAGGAACTCTGTTCACCTGCAGTTAGAGCCTTGAACATAGATTTGGAAGAGAAATTGGGTTGAGGGTCCAAACTTGGGTGTCAATGGAATGAGGGGAAGTGTAGACTTCTTTTATGGTAAGAAAGAGGTTCAAGATGTCTGAGATCTCAGTGTCAAAAAGAAGTCATTTTTGTATTCTTTTTTTTTTTCGCACAAGGTGGCAACTCAGACTTGAACCTGCATTCGCATGCTTATAAGCCCAAGATTTTACCATTACACCAAACAAAAAAGAGAATACAAACAGCAATTCTTCCCCTATTTGATGGGGGCACTGCCTAGAGGTTGCAACAGATAACCAACTAGGGTAGTTACAAGTCAAGCAACCACATACTACATCATTTGGAGTATGACTAACAAATGCAAACTAGAAAGTTAATAACAACCAACAAAACATAGTGAATCACAGCCAGAGATGAAAAGTTAACAGCAGCCACCAATTCACTAGAGTCACATATAAAGAAACATTATCCAAGATAAGTCTCCTTGAAGAGGATGACAAAAAGATAAAGACTCTTGTTCAAGGATGGAATAATTGGAATGGCCTAGCTGTGAAATCATCTCTGTCATCATCATCATTTCCTGCACTAACCTACAAGAATGGGCGATCAGGTATTAAGGGCCAAGTCCCATCATCAGGTAATCCTTGGGTTGCAAATGCTGTTTCAAACCAGGTTGCTCATAGCATGATTACAGCTAAACAAATCATTGACCATCAATTCCAGGAGAGGGGGGTGTTCATGTTTCTTATAGGTTGTCCAGATCTTGACATCACCTCTTGGTCATAGACAACTTCTTTGGCCACATTAAAGGCTCACCTGACTGAGAACATTCCTTTTGTATCTTGGTTCCAAAGAAAGGAAACCTTACAAGGATGAAGGGGAACTATGGTATCTAGAATTTTTCTAGTTACCTATGTCATAAAAAAAGCAGTAACCAAATTCATATTCCATTTCCAAGTAGAATCCTCTATAAGATCATGAACCATCGAAAGATTACAACCATCTAGTTTTGAAGAAGGGACTTTAAAACCTGGGATAAATGGAATCCAATTGAACTCCCAAATCTTGATTTTATGGTCTAATCCAACGAACTATCAAGCCCCCTAACAGAATTTTCCTACCTTTTTTTTCTGATTGGTAACAGAATGTTCTTACCTTCAAGAAGTCTTCTCTAGCTTCAGGAACCTATTCTGTGAAAAGCAACCAAATAAAAAGACAATCTTTTGACAGGAAATATTTAGCCTTTATTACTCCAGGCCAAATAGAGTTTACTTATGCACAAAGCCCCCATGCTTTCTTAGCTAGGTGAACAAGGTTAAAACAATGGGGATCCCTGAAACCTCAACCTCCACTTTGTTTACTTCTTCTCATAAAATCCCCCCGACTCAGTTAGTTCATTTTTATCTATATTTGCATTCCATCAGAGCTTTCTTTGAATACAGACAAGATGTTTGCTAAGGGTCTTAGGAATCAGGAAATAAGCATGGTTTAAAGTATCGATACACCCGATACGCACAAACAGGTGTATCAGGTGTTTCGCTACTTTATAACTTTGTTATTTTAACTATTTTTTTTTTCAAAATTGCATCAGGGGGTCGGTTAGCATGCCTACCCCCTGAAAATAGTCAAGGTCAGAAACACCCCTTATTTGGGGTTTTGGACAGCTCCTGGTACGATATGATACATCCGATACGGGGCGTATCGTATCAAAATTTTGAACCTTGGAAATAAGACATGGAATAGGTAGAAAAAACTGAGGCTGCAGATTCAAGAACCTCCTTTTGTGTTTGAGAAAGTAACTTTCCTTTTGCTGATCCAAAAAAGTAACCTTTACTTCCATGAACTCCTTTTGCTATTCTGTCAAAAACAAGCAAAAAGACCTACATTTTTTATTTTTCAAATTCGGTGGCCGGACCAAGGTAAATCCCCAAATTTTCTCTATTTTTAGTCCCTTTTCCATTACTTTTTTCTGGAATAGTTGGAGACTATTTTGTCTGAAAGTGATTTCAGACTTACCTCTTCATCTGAGGCTTTCCCATAGAGGTTCAGCAAGCCCAGACTTTTACTTATAGGCATTCTAACTAAAATATAAGATATATTGAATTGATACGTTAACAAAAATTGAAACCTAAATATCAAAATACATTACACTAGATCCAGTTGAAGTAGCATGCATTTCTACTGAAAATGATTGAATCAATTATATTTGATGCTCTTTCTTGTCCAAGCACATCATGGCGAATGTGAAACCATGGTTTAAAGTATTGATACACCTGATACGCACGAACAGGCGTATTGGGTGTTCCACTACTTTATAACTATGTTATTAAGTTTTTTTTTTCAAAATTGCATAAGGGTGTCGGTTTTAAGCATGCCTACCCCTTGAAAATAGTCAAAGTCTGAAGCGCCCCTCATTTAGGGTTTTAGACAGCTCCTGATATGATATGATACGCCTGATGTGGGGCGTGTCGTATCGAAATTTACAGGAACTATCTGGCCTATTTCTCTGACAAAGAGGCAGTTATGGTCAAGAAGAACCCAATATAACTCATTTTTGTGTCTATAGAGTGATATTTTTTTGTCCCTTATGTTTCTGCCTGCTCACGTTTTATTAATAGTTATGTTCCTTGTTGGATTGGTTTCACAGGGAGCATCTATTGCATGGAATATTCCAATTGCATTTATTAGCGTTATATTGCTTCCAATTGTAGGGAATGCTTCTGAGCATGCAAGTGCTATTATGTTTGCTATGAAAGATAAACTTGTAAGTGCTTCTACAGATAGAATTTCTATCCTTTTTTTATTACCATGATCTTATAGTTCTTTTTCCTGATCTTCTGCATAGGACATTTCTTTGGGAGTGGCTATAGGGTCATCAACACAGATATCTATGTTTGGGGTAGGTAGTAAATATTATATAGTTCAGTTTTGACTTCAAAGAAAGTAGACTGCTCTTTAAGCACACTTTCTACATGTCAAAGTTAATAGTTTGAGATCAAGCAATAGTAAGTTAAATATTTAGAATGGAAAATGAGTACAAGGTTTATTTTTACTGAATAGTGTTATGAAGATATTTGACCAATCTGCATATTCCATGCTGCTTTATGTTTATGATAAATGTCCATCATGAAGAAGACTTTTCTTCCTCTTCATCACTCACTAGATAAAGTTTTGATAAAACAAAATGCTGGTTTTGATATTTAATTTTTAAACCATGGAAGGGTTTGACTCATATAATAGCCTTTAGCTATCTCATGAATTTGACACACTGTAATTTACCGCTTTATTTGGTTGGAAGAATATTTAAGAGAAAAATTCCAAAAATGTTCCAATAAAATCTTAGAGTGGCATTTGGTTGTCTTAGAAAGTAAGTACAATGCATAACCAAATTTTCTTGATTGCACTGTGTGTGTGTTTGTTTCTAAAATGAGAGTATTTTTTTTCTTTGAAGACAAAAGATAGGAGAAGCTATATGGAGCATGTAGGGACGAATTAAATCTGGGTGGGATTCACAAAGATTATAGTTTCTAGAATTTCCTTATTCTTTTTTTTTTCTTGACAACCCAACAGTGCTAAGATGATAAAATTTTCTCTTCTTTTCTTCTCTTTCTTTTATTGTCTTTCATTTTCTTTTCTTTCATTGTAATTATTTAGCAATTAAATAGAGCCAAAGGCCAATCTGATCACCTTTTCTTGTTCCATGCTTTAGAAATTGGGGAATCTTTTATGTTGTATTTTTCACTTTCTTGAATGACAATCATATTCAGTGATGTTATAAAGATGCTCTTATATTTTTCATAATTAAGTGGTTATTCTTCCTAAGAAGTAAGCATGTTATTGACATTTAACCAGTCCTTTTCAGTTCATATTATGACTAGTTTTATTCCTATTTGAATATCATTCTTGAGACAAGCTTATCCTTTAAAGTGATTAAGAAATAGTGGAAACTGAAACAGAACTTTTTCTAAGTGGGGTCTACTGTTGGAGGTGTTGAAATATAGGTGGCTTGGCCTTGTCACAATTGGCATAGGTCTAGACCTGTAGGTAAGACAGTATTAGAAACTGCAATTTATCTATTTGGATGGCGTATTCATCCATTATTATCATCATTACTTCTGTATCTAAAATCGAATATTCATACTTTTCTGCTTCATGCATTAAAATCAAAATGAATAAGTGATTTTTAGTTCTTATGTAATTTCCATTTTTTCAGCATTATGTTTGTTTGGTAACTTTATTGTTTAAGCACACTATAGTTCCTTGTATTGGGTCATATATATATCTTAAAATATGTTTTGTTGTTTATTTGGCAGATCCCCTTTTGTGTGGTTGTGGGATGGCTCATGGGACGTCCTATGGACTTAAATTTTCAACTTTTTGAGACAACCACACTTTTTGTAATGGTTCTAGTTGTAGCTTTCTTGCTGCAGGTTTGTCTTTAATAATTAAGAAAATACAAATTTCTTTTGATTTATTGCAACTGAATCTATTTTCAAGAAACTTTAGTTCTTGTTAGAGAATAACTTAACCCTAGAACTATCTTATCAATGAAAGTTTATTGTCTCATTTGGTCACAAAAATTTCTTTTGTGAATTTTTATTGGGGTACCCCAAGATTTCTCATATTCCAAGATTCCAAACTGCCCATTCATGTTCATAGTTTCTTCATTTGAGTTTTGTGCACTCAGTTTTCTAGACTTACACCATCACTAGTTATAGATTTAAACCTATTTTTGACATGTTACCTTTTTCCAAGGAAGGTAATGATTGAGGCTTTGATTTTAGGAAAGGTTTTAATGACCATGAAACTAGTAAGGTGTTAGCTCTCCTTGAGACCTTCAGGATGCATTTCTTTGCCAATATGGGAGGAGCAATAGAGCTTGGACATTAAGACCATTTGGATTTTCACATGGCACTCCTTCTTGGTTCTTCCTTAGGGATGTGTTTGAGGATTTGGTTTTTACGAGAGGTTTTAAATATCATGAAGTTGGTGAAGTATTAAAACTCCTTGAGACCCTTATGAATGTTTTTCTTTGCCCTGATAGGAGGAGAAATAGAGTTTGGACATTAATCCCAGTTGCAGTGGCGAAGCTAGGAATTTTCTTTATTTATTTATTTATTTTTTTTGGGGGGGGGGGTGAGTTAAACAAGAAAATGAGATAGGGAGTAGAAGAAGTAGGGTTTGGGGAAAAATGGATTGAAAAGGTTTGGGTCTATTACATATTTTTTTAAAGGTAAAATAAACATTTTTTTTTTATTTTAGGAGTTGGAGGAGCATTAGAGAGTGATCCGTTACATTTTAGTTCAAGTTTTGGGGGGGGGGGGCAAAGACCCATTTCATTATGTTTTGACCCGGCCTCCTCTTAGTAACCATGTATAAATAACAGCTTTACCAAAAAGTTTGG